TTTTTCACGGGCCTGGCCAGCGGGTAACCGATAGCTTCTCTCTGAGGTATCAGGCACAACAACGTCATATTTTTCAGTGGAACAAATGCAACGTGGCATTGACAGAGGAGCACAGGGCTTGCAGACATCCTTCCAGAAATGTCTATGTCTCAATCTGCTGGAACCCACCGTAAAACGGCTTGTAAAGGCGATACGCTATCTAAGCAACCGCTCTGGTTCTTGGACACATGCATCTCGGACAGATGCAAAACAACTGCTCCTAGAATGGAAAAAAAAGGGTAAGGTAAGCCTTTAATTATGTTTTGACTGAACACAACCAAGAAAAAAAGGAATCAGAGAAAAACAATCTTGAACCGTAAGGAGCTGCAAAAGCAAACGCTGAAGCGCATGGGGCTGTGGGGAAAGGGGCTGTAAGAAATTTCAAAGACATGTCTGTAACGTGCTCGTAGGGCAAGGCTGCTTTTTAATCTCTGCCCTAAAAGCTGATCGACAGTCTAACAAATGAAAATTTGTTTCACATTAGAGGCTTGTTCTTTCAAAATGAGAAGTTTAAGTGCACAGTGTTCTGACCTAAAATATTTCAATTCTAGCCTGAATTCCTATGCCAGCGGGGATTATGAGATCATGCTGTCTGTCAACTCCTCTTTCGTCCATCTGTTCCCCTCCTCCTTTCCTTGATAACTTTTGAACCTTCAGGCTAATTTTCACCAAATTTGACAAAGCAGAGATGGGATGGAGGCCCGCAATGATAATCCGTGGTGAAAACTGTCATGAAAATTCCATGTCTGGGTAGAAAAAGCAATAAATGATTTCCTGCACTGTCCGTGCCCGAAGGCTGGTCCAGGCGAGCTCGTCACTGTCAAGAGGTGGCTGCCGGCCAGCAGGCACGCAGCTCCCAGCCGGTCCCAGAGCGAGTGTACCGGCCAGCTTGCCCAGCTCAGCAGATGGGAAGGCCACGAGGGAGGTGGGACATCGTGTGCACGTGAGTCCGGAAAGGGGGAGAGGAACCGGTCACACAGGGCACTGAAGGCGTTAGTTGCAGCAATCCAGATAGACAGTTCATTCACCAGAAGACAGGCAATCTTTTATCAGATGTGTCTTCTTTTGTCTAGGATGTGGACTTCAGTCACCGAGCTGAACAGCTCCTGGGACAGGAGAATTCAGGAAGTTTTCTAGGTATTTTAAAATTTGCTTTTACTTGAGCATTTTTTAAATGAGTAACACTGATATTTATGAAAACAAAAAACCCCCAACACTGTGAAGGACAAGCCTCCAAAATACTACTGTAGGGCAAGTTGATTTTAGTGCAAGTAACTGACTGAACTGAAACGGCATCGTCTTACGAAACAAGCCAGTGAATGCTTTTGTTCCTTCCCCATCGGAAAGATGCAATGCACTTTATCTGCCAGATGATTTGAAAACTTCAGCTAGCCTAAATTGCAGCTGCATATCAGGCTGTAATCTAATGGGGAGGAATTCAACACTGCAGCTCTTTTTACCCATGAGAACTCGCTGCTGGGTCAGGGTTTAATTTAAAAGTGTCTTGCACAGACCACGTTATACCAGAAGTCAACATACTGCACTTTGCAGGTGATACAGGTGCTGATTTTGATCTAGAAAACCTCGTGCGAGCTGGTCTTAGCTGTGCTGAGCTGCGAGGTTGCTCATTTCCCTGTGTTGATTCATTTCAACAATTGCATTAAGTGAGATTAGAGAAGCTGAACATTTAGGACACGTAGTGGGAGGGCGCAGCCACCCACATACGGACTGGGTCAATGCCTCGTCAGGGTGAAATGTAGAGATAACATTTCTGGATGCAATAAATTATTTCTTTCCAGAATAACTGGCCTTAGAAACCACAAGAAAAAAACATCATTCTGAATTTAGTCTTCGGCAGTGCAGAGGATCTAATTCAAGAGCTGTTAGTGGGTGAGCAGCTCCATAGCAGCAACCACAATGTAATTAAGCTTAACACCGTCAGAAGAGAGAGCAAGACAAATAAAGCATACGGGTACTCAATCTGAAGAAAACAACCTATGCAAAAATGGGGAAAAATGACAGAAAACCCTAAATGAGCAGTTCAGAAGCAAGCAGCCTACAAACACCCAGAAGGCTTAAAAAATACTGTACTGGAAGCCTGGGTAAGATGTCTGACACAGACAGAAAACCGTGGCCGAAACCTCCTCCCTGCATGACTCAATGAGAAAGCTGAGGCTGCCGTGCAGCGAGCAGGGAAGCCCAGCAAAACGTGGCACCAGCAAAGTAAACAGGAAGCGAAGACAGCTAAACGTGAGGAGCGGCCAACGAGCGATGCTCAAACGGCGAGTGAGAAGTTTACACGCTGCTCAACTCGGAACCAGCCCTTGCCATGCAGAAGAGGTCCTGCAATCATGGCCGGTAGATCTCCTGTGGCTCCGCGGGCAGCGGCAGCTGGGAAGCCAAGCAAACCGGGAGCATCATCAGGGCGTTGGGAGCAAGGGTTTGGTAGAAAGCTTTGGGGCACCCACGCCTTGAGGGCTTGGTGTAGTCTCGTCTCTGCACCTCAGGCAAGGTGTGGCCATGATGCAGAAGGTGGAGGGGAGGACAACCGAGATCATCGAGGGGATGAAGCGCTTGCTTTACAGAGGCCAAACTCTGGAGCTCTCCAAACCCGAGAGGACAAAGCTGAAGGGAGACGCAATGGTGGTTTCTGAATTGCTATGAAGACCACAGACAGGGTAAACGCAGAGGTGGCGTTCACCAAATCCTGCAATGCTAGAGCCAGGAATTATTTGATGGGATCAGGAGAGGATTAAAAAACAATTCAGAAAGTGCTTTTTTAAGCAGCAGGTAGCGATGTTCTGGACTGGGAAGAGTGGTGGATATGCCAGAAGGCTGTGCTGCCATTCAGCAAGACCTGGATAGGCTGGAGAGTTGGGTGCAGAGGAATCTGATGAGGTTCAACAAGGGCAAGTGCAGGGTCCTGCACCTGGGCAGGAACAACCCCGTGCACCAGTACAGGCTTGGGGCTGACCAGCTGGAGAGCAGCTCTGTGGAGAGGGACCTGGGTGTCCTGGGGCACGACAGGTTGACCATGAGCCAGCAGTGTGCCCTGGCTGCCAAGAAGGCCAATGGGATCCTGGG